AAACAAAACAAAGCCGATGCAGTACAGATTTAGTAATTTTGTTTGTGATTCCCGAACAGCAAACCCTCCAACTGCATAGAGAACACAGCTCACCAATACAGCCGTAGGCATAAAGAGCATGAAGAGAAAGCTACAGCCTCCAGGACATGATAATCGTGTTCTTTATACAGAAAAATATTGTCTGCCGCATTGCCAACGCAAATCAGTCACACACACACACACAATAAGCATGATGCGGTGCACTGGAACAGAGCCAATATGTTGACAGATACGCCTGATTTTCTTGTTGTGTTAGTTGCATATGTGGCGTTCAGACCTGCAGAGGGAGTTGGGGAGTTGAGGAGGTTTACCATGTGAGGAAACCACGATGTAGCGCTTATTCCCACAGGTACTGTTTACAGAGAGAATATCACGGCGACGGCGCTGGCAAGGATGAGGAGCAGAAGGGGTGCGCACCCAGCAGGAGTCACAGTGCCATCGCCAATACCAATGTTCAAAGTAATCGCGTCATTGTTGTTAAGCACATGTGCTGCTGGACCTTTACCATTGGTAGCCAAGTTATTCTTTGTATCGCTGTCCTGCATCAGATTTTCGTTTGTTGTGGCGACTTGAGTGACTCCCTCGTGCGGTAGTTCACGCCTGGTTCTTACTGAGTTAGATGATGGTCCAGCATCAACATGATTACCTTGTACATCCTCACTCTGTGCTTCCCTTGTGTCGAGAGCTGCGCTATGATGGATGTGTAAGTCAGCGAGCTCCATGTGCTCCTCAACTGTCGCACCTGTTGTTGGAACGTTGTGGGTGGAGGAACCAAATAGGCCGTCTCTTTCAGAAGTATGGTGTCCCGATGAGTCAGTGGGTACATTAGGATGAGTCGAAGTTAGTCCTCTCTCAACATGTGGTGCCCCAACAGTTTCCATGGTTGGTTCTGGTGGTGGGTGGGTCAGAGGGGACGGGTCTTTGGGTTTGATGGGCCACGTTATGTTTTTAGGAGCAGGCTGGTCGTCGTCATCCTGGTGAGGTAGCTCCTCCAGAACAATGGTGACGTTGCGGTGCTCAGTGCACACCTCTTCGTACGCGGGGCAGATAATACTTCCGGACCAGTTCCCATTTTTTGAGCTGACCTTCTTCTTCTCCTCGCACTCGTACCATTCTTCGTCAAGACGGAACTGCACGCTCAGCTTGCCGTTCTCACACTTCGTATTCACACACACATCGCCAATAGGCTGTGTCGTAAATTTGAGGTTTTCGCCCTTTACACAGCGTGACTTCGGGCCAACAAAGCTCCCGCGTCTCTGTATCGTGGTGCTTGTAGTGCACGAGGAGTCTTTCAATTCTTGAACAAAAGGGCAGTAGTCCATTTCGCGAATGGTGCCACCAAAATGCTTGCCGAGAAAGTACTGGTATTCATCAGGCAATGGCGTGGAATACCATGTCATTGTGCAGTACCCAAGAGCCAAAAAATCATGTGTACAGAGGAACGGTACCTGTTTACGATGCTGGTTGCAGAACATATCTGGATAATCAGTCTCACCTCCTGTTAAGCACTTCTTCTCCAGAAAACCGCAACCGGAGTTGTTGCCCCATTTCATCGGCTCTGCCATACTGTAATTTACCTTGTAAAATGGCATGCTTTCGAATATTCCAAGTGTCAGTTTGGTGTAGTAGCTTGCTTTGGATGAAGGCGCCATCATTTCATCCTTCGCATTCCGAAACTCAAGGTGTGATCGGGCTGTCCCACAACTACTCGTGGACTCCAGTTCTACTCCAGTGGCATTGGGGCAGCCATAATGTTCACTCGCCACTTTCTTCGACTGCGTAGTATTTATGACCGCCACTACTCTTTGCCGCAAAGTTACACCGGTATCTACAATTCCCAACTTCAAAAACATATAATAATCAAAACCAAGAAGGTGCGCGATTTCGTGCGCCACCGTGCGAACGGCGGCATCTGTAGCTTCCACGTAAGTGGGATTCAGGTTCAAGGAACCAACAATGGGCCGCCCATCGTCTGTACAGGCGCAATACGCCCCCCACGCCATTGCACGGTCGGTCTGCAATGCACTGACGTAAAAATACAATTCAGCATCCTGAAGCCCAATTGTGTGGTGCTCCTCAGGGATGGTGTAGTGGCTGCAATACGTATGCTCCATACTTGGTACCTTAACAATGCCCGTCTCCCGGACCACAAAAATACGCTCAGTGTGCATTTTAATTGCCTCGGGAATAAGCTGCTCTTCAATAATCCTCTTCTTCCTCACCGTCAACACGCCATTGGCACGGCAGTATAATTTAGTGTAGGTCTGATCGTAACGTTCTTCTCCAGCAACAGTGCAATACTTTGACGGGTCGTTAAGGTCCCTCGTGAACGCCTTGATGCGGATCGGCACCCAGTTCTTGTTATCACCGAAGATATTAGAGTTCTCGGCAGCATTGGCGGTGTATGCCTGCACGGCGCCCTGCCCCTTGCGGGGTATTTCCCGCACAACCGTCACCGGCTTATTCAGCTCACTTATCTTGTCATGCATGCAGCGGTGGTGACTTGCGGCAAGGCAACCGGCCGTACAGCACAGCAGCAGCAGCAGCAGGAGCGTGAGCACCCGAGGGTGCGGAGAATAGCGGCACACCACGGCGCGCGCGCACGGAGTGTGCATAACTGTGTGTTATCGCTGAGAAACTTGTAAAGGCTGTGTGCAGAAAGAAAGGAAAGAAAGAATGAACAAGTGTTTCACCTTAACCACTGAAAAATACATGTAGACCAGCACACAACTCAACTAGCACCGACATCCACACACACAAACACACACATATCCATATTTTTCCAAACCAAAAGAAGCTACTGAATCTCAGTAGAAACAGTATATTGATATTGAAAAACTCTTATTGATGATTCCAAAAAGTAATAGGTCCAACATACACATAAGTAAAGAAACATACATACATATGCTGGAGGTTCAACAAGGAAAAATAACAAAGCCGAAGCAGTACAGATTTAGTAATTTTGTTTGTGATTCCCGAACAGCAAACCCTCCAACTGCATAGAGATCACAGCTCACCAATACCGCCGTAGGCATAAAGAGGAATCTGCAGCCTTCACGGCATGATAATCATGTTCTTTATACAGAAAAATATTGTCTGCCGCATCGCCAACGCAAATCAGTCACACACACACACAATAAGCATTATGCGGTGTACTGGAACAGAGCCAATATGTTGACAGATGCACCTGATTTATTTGTTGTGTTAGTTGCATATGCGTCGTTCAGATCTGCAGAGGGAGTTGAAGAGTGTCGGAGAGTTGTGCCACGTGGAGAAGCCCCGATGTAGCACTAACTTGCAGGTGTTGCTCACAAAGGCACCATCACAGCGACAACGCTGGCGAGGGCGAGAAGCAAAAGGGGTGCATGCCCAGCAGGATTCACACTGCCAGACAGCCCATCAGTCTGCACCGGTGTGGTCGTATCTTTCTCACTTTCTTCTGGCGTTGGATGGGGCAAAGGATCGGAACTGGGAGTTTCAGTCATGTTCCACGTAATGTTTCCAGGAGCAGGTTTGTCGTCGCCATCCTGGTAAGGTAGCTCTTTCAGAGGAATGGTGATGTCGGGGAGCTTGGTGCACACCGCGTCGTACCTGGGGCAGATAATCTTTCCTGACAAGTTTGCCGTTGTGGGAACGATTTCCATCTTTTCCTCACATACGTGCCACTTATCATCACCATCACCCAGAAACTGCACGCTCAGAGTGCCATTGTCGCACTTGGTATTCACGCACACATCACCAACAGACTTTCCCGAAAAATTTAGCTCAACGCCTTTTACACAACGTGCGTTTTCGCCAATAAAGCTTCCACGGGATTGAAGGT